CACGCGGGAAAGACAACGGCGAAAAAGACGGCGCCAAACCAGAGTGCGAGGAAGGTGCCTTACGTGCGGCACGGCAAGAGAACTTGCACGTCCAGGCCGGAGCGCGTTGCTTTCAAGAGGAACGTGTTCGATTTCATACGCGCAAGTGACCGCGAGATCGTCGACATGTTGCTCGAGGACCAGGTCTTGGAGAATTTGGAAGGCCAGACGTGCTCTTTCTGCGCGAAAGGAACCCTCGGCCCCCTGAAGGACGTCCAGGGCCGTGGACCGCGGTACCGCTGCAACCACAAGGGTTGCCAGAAGTTCTCCTTGCCCCAGAGCGGGCACATGGTCTTCAGCAGCGGCTCTGGCGTTGCCGCGGTGCCCTTGCAGGAACAGTCTGCCGTGCTTTTCGCTGTCGTGAACAACGTCCCCCTTGCCAAGATCCATGCGCTCACGGGCAAGAACCACAAGGCGATCGAGAGCATGAGCAAGTTCAATGATGCGTGCCGAAAGAGCGACGTGCAGCAGCAGGAGAAACTGATTTCTTTCGGAGGAAAGGGGCGGACGTGGAAAGATGTCGAGGCCGATGAGGTCGACCTCAGGGGCGATCTACTGCCTGATCACGCGGAGCGAGCTGAGAACGAGCGGGTCCAGTGGGAGCAGTGGGGCGGTGTCATCGAAAGAGGCAATCGCAAGACATTGGTGTTGACGCGCCTCAAGCCAAGCCTCACCAAGCAGAGGGCGCCAGGCCCAGGCGCGATACGCTTGCCTGATTGGACGCCGTTCGCTCACAAGAACTTGAGCAACAGGAACGTTGTGCTCCACACGGACGGGGCAAAAACGTACAAGGTCAAGGTCGAGGGGATGCTCCACGACCACGTCGTGCACCAGAGGAAGCGGCTCGTGAAGAATGGCAAGCCCGTGAAGAAGAACGGCCGCCAGGTGTGGGTGAAACCCACGTACGCCAAGAAGTTTCAGCATAAACTTCCTGGTGGACGAGTCCTCAAGTGCAAAGGCGGGACCCAGATCATCGACAGGTTCTGGCAGCACTTGCGCGGCTTCATCAAGACCAGGAAGAGCTCCGTTGGCTCGGTGTCATTGAACGCCAGGGTCCGATCGGCCCAGTGGGCGTACTGGCATGCCAACGAGGACCTGTGGCTGGAGACTGGCAAGATGTTCAGCCGCTTGAGGGGGAAGTAGCTTGTAGACCGCAGGCTTAGGGGAGCGCGGCAGGGCGCTTATGAGTAGGCGAGGCCGTGCACGCAACCAGAAGCGCATTGCGCAGCAGAGAAATCAGATGTTCAGCCGCTTGAGGGGGAAGTAGCTTGTAGACCGCAGGCTTAGGGGAGCGCGGCAGGGCGCTTATGAGTAGGCGAGGCCGTGCACGCAACCAGAAGCGCATTGCGCAGCAGAGAAATCTTGAAGCTCACGAAACCTGGCCAGGCGTTTCTCCTGTCTCGGAGCTAAGGAAACTTTGCCAAGCGTGGTGTTTGGTTTCTCTCTAGTCTGGTGGCTCGCGATACCTGGAAAGTCGCTGGTTTTGATTGGTTTGCTGGTCTGGGAGGCATGAGAACCTGTGATTTCATTGGTTTTTCTAGTTTTTCTGGTCTGGGAAGCAGGAAAACTTGTGATTTCATTGGTTTTTCTGGTTTTTCTGGTCTGGGAAGCAGGAAAACCTGTGATTTCATTGGTTTTTCGGTCGCAGGTTTTCCTTCCCCTCAGACCAGAAAAACAAGAAAAACCAATGAAATCACAGGTTTTCCTGCTTCCCAGACCAGAAAAACCAGAAAAACCAATGAAATCACAGGTTTTCATGCTTCCCAGACCAGAAAAACCAGAAAAACCAATGAAATCACAGGTTTTCTTTGCCCCCAGACCAGAAAAACCAGAAAAACCAATGAAATCAGAGGTTTTCCTGTTTCCCAAACCAGAAAAACCAGAAAAACCAATGAAATCACATGTTTTCCTTGCCCCCAGACCAGAACCTCTGTCCGAGTTCTCTGCGAGGTTGTAACGGTAGTTCTCTCGCATTTGAGCGGCTTTGCGCCAGCGAGGAAGGGGCGAGGAAGATACGAGGAGAGACAGACAACTCGAACGTTCATTTGAAAACCCACCAAAAGGTAGATCTTGGGGGGGGGTGCGACCATATATATATAAAATATATGTATATATATATCTATATATATATATATATATATTCATCTATTAAATATGTATATGTTATGTATATTCTATGTATGTGTATATGTATATGTATATGCATAGTATGTTTTATATGTATATGTATATGTATAGTATATGTATATGTATATCTATATAATTTGCATATGTAATGTATATGTTCTATATCTGTATATGTATATGTATATGTATATGTATATGGATGTATATATCTATATATGTATATATATGTAATGTATACGTATGTATATGTATATGTATATGTATATGTATATGTATATGTTTATTATAATGTGATATGTATATGTATGTATGTATGTATGTATGTATGTATGTATATATATATATATATATATATATATATAGGCCGTCCAAGAGTCCCCCAAAACCGCTCCAAGACGGCCGAAGAGGCCCCCAAGACCGCCCCAAGACGGCCCAAAAGACCCCCAAAATCGTCCCAAGACGGCCCAGGAGAGCCCCAAGATGGCCCAGGAGCCGCCCAAAACGGTTCCAGGAGAGCCCCGACAGGGCTTCAAAACTGCCTAAGCGAGCCCAGCGGGCCCCAACAGGGCCCCGCGAGGCCCCAAGAGGCCCCGAAGAGGCCCCCAAGAGCCTCCCTGGAGGCCCCGAGAGGCCCCAAAGATGCCCAAAAATGGCCCTGAGCGCGCCCCAAGACGCCTCCAGGAGAGCCCCACAGGCCTCCGAGAGGCCCCCAAGAGGCCCACTGGAGGCTCTCAGGAGGTCGTCCCCATCATGTTCCCGGAAGGCGGTCCGGGAACATGATTCCGCGCCTTGGAGGAGTATTCTGCCTCTTCCGAGGCGCCTTCCGAGGCGCCTTGGACGACGTACGTATGTTTCTATAGCTTGTCCTTCTCCTGTGTACACAATACTACATGTCTTACGTATGTTTCCATATATATATATATATATGATCCTTTTAACAAGTGTATGCTGCGTATCACGGCGAAGTTGCCGCACTTGATGGTCATCCGTTGCCATCTCGCTCTAGCCTCGAGCGAACTCCGCCCGTATGCTCTCTGCCGCTCGCGCGGCGGCCGATCTGCTGCTGCCAGAGCTGGGCCGCGGGCTGAGCACCGGCGTGGCGCTGTACGCGGCCTACCAGGGACACGCCCAGTGCCCCGCGTGCTCGTGCGCGCCGCAGTTCCACTGCCCGGAGTTGCGGTGCGACTGCTCAGGCCTCCAGGGCTCGAGCAGTCACGGGCCCAGCCTCTGGGCCGTGGCGCTGGCCTGCGCCGCCAGCGGGCTGGTCGGGGCCTCCACCGCGGCGCTGGCCTTTGGCGCGCCGGCGGCCGCTTCGTGGCGGCCCGCCGCCCGCAGGTCGGCGGTGGCAGGGAGCCGGACTTCGAGGAGGAGGCCCGGGCTCAGGCGCGCGTGGCTCGCGCTAAGGCTCTGCAGCAGTGATGGCGGCGCCGGCGCCGCCGGTCTACCCGTCGGTGGCCGCGGCGGGGGTGCAGCCCGGCGACTTCATCGGGGTGCAGTACCACGTGGCGGGCGGGGCCCTGATCCACGAGCGCGTGGTGGTGCTGGTGCCGCTGGGGCTCCCTGGCGCGGCTTGCATCATCACGCCCGACGCGGACGAGTACGAGGAGCTCTGCGTGGGCTCGCCGGACGTGCTGCGGTGGGACATCTTCCCTGGCGGCGCGGCGGGAGGCACGATGGCGTGGGCGCCTGGCGCCCGCTACTACAGGTTCCGCAGCCTGCCGACGCCGGCCACGCTGCTGACGGCCGCAGCCGCTGCCGCCGGCCGTCTCGGCCTTGCAGCCCCGCCTGGGCCCATCGTGGCCAACGCAGGTGGGCGACTGCTGGCAGCGCCGGCGGCGGCGGCAGCGGGTGCGCTGGTGCCTGCCGCTGCGGCCCCGTCTGCCGCCCCCGCGGCGGGCGTCGCCGGGCTGGTGGCCGCCCTTGGGGGCCCCGCAGTGGCGCCCGGGGCACCCGTGCCCCTCTTGCCTGGCGGTGCGGCGGCCCCGGCCCCTGCGCCCGCGCCGGCGCCCGCGCCGGTGCTTCCAGGCGCTGCTGCCCCTGCTGCTCCGCCTGGCGCTCAGTCCGACGCCCGTGTGCTGCCCGTGGCGTACAACGCCCTCGGCCAGAGGAAGCTGGGCTTCTCGGAGGCGGTGCTGCGCCTCGTGGAGCACGAGTGGCCGGACTGGCCCATCTCGGGGCCGCGGACGACGCTGTGGGTGTGCCTGTTCATGAAGGACAACGGGATGTCGCCGCTGGGCCGCCACAGCAAGTGGCGGTCGGAGGGCCGCCTGGCGCTGACCGACGCGGGGGTTGCCGAGCACGAGCGCTGCTGCTTCTACCTGGAGCAGATGGTGTGCTACGACTTGCTCAACGTGCCGGACGTGGCGGCGGCGGAGATGGTGTGCAGAAGCATCCAGGTGCAGGAGGAGAGGTGGCGGGATCGGTTCATCACCAATGCTGACGAGTCGCTTGGCTCGCACCTGTTCTACGGCACCTCGGCCAACCGGGGCAATGTGTGCGTGCGCCCCCAGCTGCTGGCTTACGTCAGCGGTGAGCTCTCGAAGGAGTACGCCGTCGCCAAGGAGAGGCGCAAGGCTCGCGAGGAGCGCCAGAGCGCCAGGGCGCCGAACAACAAGGACAAGAAGGGCGGCAAGGACAAGGACAAGGAGGAAGGCAAGGGGTGAGGAGGAGCGGGCGGCGGGACTTGGGGCCACCCGCCGCGCAGAAGCTCGAGCACCAGGCCCTTTTTCGCGGCCCCAGCGCCGCCCCCGATGATCTACGACATCGGGATCTTTTTCCGCTTCCTCACGTGGCTCGACGGACTGAGCGCGTCCCCGAGCGCCGCCCCTGCCGAGCCGTGCGCCAGCGGCTCCGCCGCTCCGACGTGCTGCTGCAGTGGGCCGACCAGGGCATTGACGCGCTCAACTGCCTGTATGGCCACGCTGGTGCACCTCCGTCGGCGCCCGCGAACCTGGGGCAGCAGACCAGCCTGAACTTTTTGGAGGACTGCTACCTGGGGATGGGCGCGATGCCGAGCGAGCCAGGTTTTTGTGAAGAAGCCCTCCGCGAGCTTCTCAGTGGCTCCACCGTCTACGCTGAGGATGGTGGCGCCCGGGTCCCGTACTCGAAGGAGCTGGTCTCCTGGCCTGAGGTGGGTTCCAGCCCCGTCGACCTTGTGGGCTGCCTCACTCAGGATGATGCTGATTGGGCACGGGATTGGCGACATAACTTGCTCAAGACGCCCGGCGAGGCGCTGCTCGGGGCCCGACAAGCTTGCCCTCGCGGACCTTTCGTCGACCCTCGGTTGGCGCGGGATCCAGTTTTGTATGGTGACTTTGTTCGGCGGCTTCATCAATGTGGAATGTTGCGCTTCAAGGTGGCCTCCACTGCCGAGCACATGATTGGTGTATTTTTTTGTGAGGAAGAAGTCCGGCAAGCTTCGCATAGTGTTCGACGCGAGGTACGCCAGCGCCTTCTTCACCCGGCGCTCGCGACGCGGCTGCCCACGGCGGCCGCGGTGTCTTCTGTGGAGTCGGGCGGTCTGCCCTTGTGCGTGGCGGCTGGCGACCTCGACAATGCCTTCTACTGTCTCAGGCCCATGTCGGGCTTAGAGGACTACTTCGCGCTGCCTCCGCTCTCCTCCTCCCTAGCGGGCATCACTGAGCTGGAGGGGGTGTGCATTCCGGCAGGGACCAGCCTGGTTCCTTGCCTTGCCATCCTGCCCATGGGGTGGTCGTGGGCGATGCACTTCTGCCAGGCTGTGACCATGCGCGCCATCTCGGTGGCGGGCTTCACGGACTCGCAGATCGTGGAGGACGGTCGTTCCAGCATGGCCCTGCCCGCCCGCTCAGACACGGCGGCGGCGGGCTACGTGGACAACTTCTACGTCTTCGGCCACGACGCCTCGCTGGTCACGCAGCGCCGGGACGACGTGTCGGCCGTGCTGCGCGGGTGGGGCTTGACAGTCCACGAGGAGACGGATGCCTCCCCCGACGCCGTCTTGGTGGGCCTGGAGCTCCGGCAGGGCCGCTGGCTGTCTATCAAGCGCCGCAACCTGTGGCGGCTCCATGCGGCGCTGGACACCGTGCTGCGCCGGGGCTGCTGCTCCAGCAAGATGCTTGAGGTGCTGGTGGGTCACATCGCGTGGGCCTGCTTGATCCGCCGTGAGCTGCTCTGCGTGCTGAGCTCCGTGTACCCGTGCATGGCGGCCGGCCTGCCGACGACCTCGCGGCTGTGGCCGTCCGCGCGCCAGGGGCTGTGGCTCGTCCGCTCGCTGCTCCCGTTCCTCCGGAAGGACTTGAGCAGCCCGTGGCACGACGTGGTCGGAGTGAGCGACGCCTCCGACTTCGGGGTCGGCGTCGCCGCGCGGTCGGTGCGGCCTGACGCTGCGGCGCAGCACGGCCGCCAGTGCGAGAGGTGGCGTTACCGTGTGCACGGTGCCGAGAAGGCCCGCGAGAGAGCCCTCCGCCCTCAGCCTCTACCATCCTCCGCATACGCCACAGCTTCGCTGCCTGCAGGACTGCCCCGCCTGGACGTCTGGGGGCTGGAATCCTTCATCGGGGTGCGCCCGAGGGAGTTCATGGAGGTGCCCAAGGAGTTCTTCGACGGGGCTCGCTGGGCTCCTGTTATCGCCTCGAGGGTCGTCGTGCCCGACAACATTCCGGCTCTGGAGGGGGGCGCGTGTGTCTTGGGCATCAAGCGCATCATGAGGTCCAGGGCCGCTTTCGGGAAGCACATACTTCTGTTCGTCGACAACATGCCGTTGGCCCTGGGTTGTTGTAAGGGAAGGGCCGCATCCATTCATCTTCGTCGTTCTCTTCGTAAACTGTGTTGCTTGGCGCTGTGTTCAAACTGTGCTATTCACATACGCTGGACGTGTATCGAGTTCAACCCTGCCGATGCTCTGTCTCGTGGGCGTTTAGGCTGGTTCACAGGGCCGTGCCGACGCGCTGCTGCCGCCCAGCCTGGCTGCTCTCGTGCGGGGCCCCCTGAGGCTGACGGGCCGACGCCGGCTGGGGCTGGGCTCGATGGCGGGTGCCTCGGCCTCTCGCCGCCAGGCGGGTCGCCACCGCAGGGCTGCGGCGGCTCGCCAGGTGGCGTCCGAGCGGGGGCCCTCGGGCGGCTTCTCGGTGCTGGAGCGGACGGCGGTCAGGCCGGTGTACCTCCGGGCCTTCCTGCAGTTCTGCTTCGTCATGGCCATCGACTGGGCGAGCGAGGCCGAGATGGGCGTCGCCCTGGTCACGTATGTGAACTCGATGTACTTCGAGGGTCGCGCCCCGAACGAGGGCTCTGTGCTGCTGGCGTCGCTGGCGCACTACGCGCCGGCGCTGTGCAAGAGGGCGGCCCAGGCCTTGCCGAGGGCGACGCGCTGTCTGGCGGGCTGGCGCCGGCGCGTCCCGACCAGGATGCGCCTGCCGCTGCCGCGCCGGGCCGCCTTTGCCATCGCCGGGGCGCTGGCGGCCTGGGGTCAGCCGCGCATGGGTCTCTTCGTGATGCTGTCGTTCGCGGCTTACCTCCGCCCGCAGGAGGCTTTCCGCCTGGCCGGGCGTCACCTCGTACCGCCAGTGGCCCACCTTGGTCAGGCCCCCACTCCGTGGGGGCTGCTGCTGCACGACTCCGACTTGCAGCTGCCCGGGAAGACCAGCCTGTGGGACGAGAGCGTGCTGCTGGACCAGGCGCCGTGGCTCGAGCCAGCCCTGGAGGCGCTGAGGACTGTCGCGGGCGACGGACCCCTGTGGGACTTCCTGCCTACGTCGATTGCTCGGCTCTTCGAGGATGCCTGCCGCGCCCTGGGCCTGGTGCACTTGCAGCCGCATCTGTGCCCCCTCCGTCGCGGGGGGGCCAGCGAGGATCTGCTGTCGGGCGCCAGGACGCCGGAGCAGGTCATGCGGCGGGGTCGCTGGGCCACTGTGGCCTCGCTCCGCCGCTACGGCAAGGAGACCCGCCTCCTCCGGGAGGCCGCCGAGGTGGACCCCGACGTGCTGCTGTTCGGCGAGATCGTGGAGCGCAACTTCCTGGACGTGCTGCGGGGCGGCCCCTTGCTGCCGCTGGTGCGGGCCGACCTGCCTGCGAGCGTCG